GGATAAGAGCAGGTGGGGGCGGTGTGTGGAGAGGGGGGTGAGTGGGCAAAAATAGGGTGACGCAAAGGAAAAAAAAAAAAATAAAAAAATGGAAAGGTGGGGGGGGGGGGGGCTATGGGAAGGTATGGATGGGGGAGGGGATATAAAGATGATTATGTTTTGTATGAAATACACAAAAATTCAATAAAAGTTCAATAAAAATTATTCAAAAAAGAAAAAAGACGACTAAATCCAAAGGGGAAGATAGAGACAGGAGCATCAGTTGTTAAACATGGTTATTATTCACAGTTACCAAGTGGTGAAAGTTCTGCAGGATTATCGCATAAACAACCATGGCAAAGCCTCTAAAAATTCAGTCTCAAAGAACTCAAATGCATACGTTCGATGCATTTCATAAAAACACTTTCCATGCTAAATTTTCCTTAAATAGCCCTTTGAGAAACTTCCCTGGAGAGCTTTTTACCTTTCCCTGAATGATGCCCAAGTGGCAAATATTTGGCCCAATTAGACGTGGCCAGAAACTAAAGGCCAAACATAAAATTAAGCAAATTATGTTTGCTCACTATAAAAGATTGAGAGAGCCCTGGATTCAAGACCAGCTTTAGCTTGTGACTTGGGAGATATTACCTTGGAAGAACAAGTAAAGAGATGCTGAAATGTACATGTGAGTCAAACATTATCTCAAAGTGAAAATAAAAACTAAAAAAATTGAGTAGATCCATGATGTTCCACCATGGGCGGGTAATGGGCCAGTGCAGTGGCACATCTGCAGTCCTAGATACTTAAGTATCTAGGGGACAAGACAGGAAGATCTCTTGGGCTCAGGAGTTTGGGGCCAGTCTGGATAACATATGGGAGCCCCAATTTCTAATAAAATACAGGGACTGAGGAGATGGCTCAGCTGGTAAAGGGCTTGCTCTGTGAGCATGAGAACTCAAGTTCAATCCCCTAGCACCCATGTAAAAGCCAGACACAGCAGTGCATATCTGTAAGCCCAGCACTGGGGAGGGGAGGCAGGAGGACCCCCGGGGTTTATGAACCAACCAATATGGCCGAAGTGGTAAGTTCCAAGTTCAGCAAGACACCCTGTCCCAAAAATAAGGTGGATATTGAGGAAGGCACCTGATGTT